CTGCTATCGATCAACCTCGTTTCTTTCCTCCTGAAAGCTGTTCACTGAGCACTCCCTTGAGTTCTCGTGAAAACTACGGTGGTCCGTGAGCACCGTTCTCCTCGTCATGCAACACGCTGCAGACTCATCTGTTTCGCATCAAAGGCGCCGCACCTGTTTGGTACTCATTTATCACGCGCCTCACCTCGTTCCTTTGTTATTTCACCGCTACGTGCACTGTTACCTTCGGTACAGCGGCGTTCGCTGCGACGCCTATTGAGGCTAAAATCACAGGATGACCATGTAAGCAATGACTCTGTTCTCTTCCGAGTAGAAGTGAATTCAGTAAATGTAGTGATGTACAAGAGGAGATTGGCCCTGTTGGACAAACTAACTGATCATCGGCCATTCACTCCAGCCCATGATCTTTTCGTGTTGCAGCCAAAACGTCGCGAACGTCAACAGTATGCAACATGGAGGAAAATGATTGATGCAGATGTGCTTTATGAGTAGCGTGTTTCCTCCTACGATGCAGTAACCAGTGTCTGAGAGTAAGATTGTTGAAAATCTGCGAATACAGCTGACATCACATACCAGGGACTCTCTGCTTATGTAAACCGGTGAACAAGATTATATCAGTGAACATCAGCTAACAAACCCCCTGCTCTTGTCATCTGTAATGGTGCTCTCTATAACTCTATGACCTCAATTCATTTGCTCCAGTTGCGCTTCGGCTATGCCGCTTTGTTTAAAAGATTACTCATTTAGAAACCGAGGCTTGCAACTGCAGAAAGAGAGTCTTTCATTAATATCTGGACTAATTCCTTCACAGCAGGAATACACGTGTAATTCATGACTAATGAAAAGGGTTCGCTTTGCTGAATGCTGGGACGATCCCATTTCAAACAATAAGTTTTCAGTCATCCATTCCGATTCCAGGAACCCGTTTAAAACCCTATTGAGGTTTGGTCTTCTTAAGTTTAAATTAAAGTTTTTAATTGTTTCGTCATGTGTGCGTAGTTGGGGACCGTGGAGCGTCGCCACCCATAAGGAAAAAAGGGGAAGTTTGAAACCGTTCGAATGTCGGTCTTCCATACACTTTTATGATCAGACCATTTCTGGCTCCCTTCATTCAATGAAGTTAATGGTGTGGGGCGCTGACCTCCATCGCCATATCCTCATCCAGAAGCACCTTATGTTTTTAAAGGCAGAATCGACAGCGGCTGTGGGACAAGGATGGTCTGTGTTCTCTAGTTTCTCTCCCACTCAGTCATCAAAGTGGTACTCATTTATCAATTTCCGATGAAAGAAAGGACAGTGACTCCAACCTAGCACTTCCTCGATATGAGTCCGATGCTCTACCCACAGAGTAGCCCTGGTCTGAAGCGACATGTGGTAAATTCCTTTCTCACGGGAATAAAGACAAAGATTATTCCGGGAATTAAACCTTTATAGTTAGCGTTTGAAGCCGACCTCTTGCGCACTGTTCCAACGTGCCACAGAGACTCAAAAAAATATACTTGCGCCACAGCATTGGCAAGCCATGGACCGAAACCCTGGTGAGGTAGCTTGCATTTATATTTCTGCTGGTCGGTTGGCCCTGTATACCCTGTCTCCTTTGAGCAAGCGAAACTCAGAGTACGGTAGAGCAGCCTCGCTACTCCGATCTGAGCAGGTGCCTTCCTGTGAATCACAGCCGTCATTGGTTTCCAGGGACAGCTCATTTGCCACCGGCTTAGCAGTGGCAGAGGTTTCCTAACTACGGCAGGTTATGACTATCAGTCAGGATTTTATAATATGTCGTTAGAGCCTCATTGGCCAACTTTTCAGTACGTGCGACCGAGTTTCGTGGCTGCCGCAGCGGCTAAACGTGAACAAGTCCCACCCAACATCACTCTTGC